CAATAAGACTGAGAGGAAGACAATGGGTACCCAGCCCCAGCATCTATACAGATGGTGAGGCTGCAGGGAAAACTCATGACCTCAGACCATTCCTTCTAAATTTTTTTGTACTTGGTTGACTAGGCCTACAGGTCCACGTTGCAAACCAAGCTCAGGGGTACAGTTTCTACACTGGTGCCTCTTTCTTCCTGTATGCCATTTGGAGGACATTTTCCCTGTCTTGGGCTTCTTAACAACTCAAGAAATGGTCTGTGCCCCTACAGTGACAGGTGTGGAAGATCCAACCAGGGTCCAACTCTGTGACCAAGGTGTGGGTCTGTTTGACTTTTTGTGTTCGCTTTCAGAGCAGTGGGCCCTAATGGCCTTCCCCAGTTTCCACATTTGACCAAGATGAAGAATAGCATCTTCAAGAACAGGGACAGCTGTAGGTAACTTGTCAGGGAGGCACCAAGAGTCCTGGTGGAGAAGAAAACCCAGGGAAGCCTGGATGGTGTCAAGAAAGGTATACCAGCACCAACAAAGCAATTTGGAGATACTCCTGGAAGAAGTTTTCGGGAGATGGTGGTAGGAAGTAGTTTCCCTCCGCTTGGGCTTGGAAGTCTCCCCACCTAACCAATCTTCCTCCTGCCTCTCCCAGACCAGACCAGTTTCCTATATCTGGTCACTTCACCACCTCCTTCCGTGACTGCAAAGGAGCAATGGTTGAGCGCTGCGCTGCCGCTGCGTTTCCCCGGAAGATTCTGGCAAGTGGACAGGGCAGTGCTGCGGCAGGCTCAGGACCCTGGCTTGTGCCAGCAACAACCCAGAGACCCGGCTCTTCCACCCTTGCCGGTGCTCCTAAAATGTCTGACTCACCCAGACTAAGGTCTGGTCGGTTATGGCCTGGTGCCCCCAGCCCTCTTTCCGGGCCTGTATTTCTAAGCAGTTTAACTTTTTCCTTTCTGGAGTTGTGCGGATGTGTTTCTGGCCCCAGTCTAAGTCAAGACACAGTCTGCAGGCCCGTCCTTCACTCAGGTGAGCACAGGCACAAGACCTCGACCTGGGGTCCATTGCCCTGGTCTTTCCTACCATTCTTAGATTTGGGCCTTTGTCTGCAGGCAGGTCGCAATGGCAGCATCAGGAGCCGAGAGACGCTCGCCTCACGGTGGAGGCGTCTCTGCCACTGGCCTAACATCCCACCCAGCGTCCAGGTCTAGAGATGGACCTCGACTCTCGCCGGGGTGAGGAGCTGGCAAACCCGGCCTGATTTGGCTAGGGGAGGTGTCGCTCTGAGCTGCATCTCCGCCGAGCTGCGGACCTTGCTCTCGCTGCTTTCGTTATTTCTTGGAGTTCCTGCATCACCAAGAGCAGTTAGGGCAGTGCGGGACGGTAAAGGGCCGAGAAACTCCTATTCCCGGGGCTTCGTCTCCAGAATGAGGAAACCAAAACAAAACAAGCCTGCGAGTCTTGATGCACAGTGAGGCTCCGGCGTCTGCGACAGCGGCTTTCGATTGCAACCCACTAGAGAGTGACTGAGTCCGCTGTGTGGACGCCGCTTTCCCCTTTGTGCCCTCGGAGGCCTCTCTTTGTCCGCTCACTTCGGACACACGGAGTGGAGTTCCATGGAAGCGGGTGCTTTGCGGGCCCACTGCTGGTCCCCGGCACACGCGGGAGGGAAACGGTGTTCCGAGGCAGGAGCCGCCCGAAACGCTCGGAGAGGGGCAGATGGCCGCCGCTGGCTCCTCTGATAGAGCGCCGAGGTCTGCGACCGCAGGGCACTGAAAGCGGATGAGGGCCCGCGCTGCGCAGTGGCTGAGCCGAAGCTAAAGCCTCAGACCCGGGTGAAGCAGATCTGGGAACTGGGTGCACTTCAAGGCACTCCCCCACCCCCACCCCCCAAAAAAAACAAAGCTGTCCCTATCACAGAAGGAGCAAAAGGCCAGTCTGGACCTCCAAACCCACTAGAATCCTCCTGAAAGCCGGGAAGCCGCGGTACTGGAAATTTCCCCAACTCTAGCACGCTAAGGCTTAATCACCTTCCCCTCAGCTTCACCCACTGGAAAAGGTCCTTGCCCTTTCTAAAGGTGTCCTTTCTTGCGGTGCCCCACTGTTAATGGTAACTCTTTCCTGTACTTTTCATTTTGGATAGCCCCACAACCTCCTCAATCTATAGTTTTTGGATTCCTCTTCAGCCCCTCCCTTCCTCCGCTCTTGGCCTAGCTGGACTCGCTAGAGGAGTGTCAGGCCCAGGAACAGCCTAGGTCCTGCAGTCAAGGCTGGTCCTCAGGGTTTATGTTGCAGACCTGAATCTGAGGCTGGGGCAGGGGGGCTGAGCACAAAGTCTAGCACCTCGGGCGGATCTGATGCTGGAGCAATCTACCTGAGATAGGGGTTCCCAAGAAAACACAACAGGTATTGTTTTCAAGGACAGATAGGGAAAAGAACTTGGAATGGGTTACAGGAATCTTGGAGCTCTGCCAGCCCATGCTGTGGTCCAGTTAAAGAGACAAGAAGAAATCAGAGCTTCCATTCACTGGCTGGTGATAGCTCAAATGTTTTTTGTTCATAGGCTGCTCCCCAACACACTCACTGAGCCCGTGTTCCGAAAGGTAAACTATGACATTTCTCCTCTCTTCCTCTTCCTTGCTCTGTCTCTCATCTAGGAAAGACCCAACAGGTTATTTTCCTATTCAAAAACTTTGATGTGGTACCCTTCAAATGAGAAAAAAAAAAAAAATAGAGTCAGGAAAAGACACTCTTCCCCCTAAATGCAGAGTGGCTTCTCTGATTTAGACACCACACCAAGACCACCTCCGACAGCATGAACCTAAAACTTCTGGAGGGTAGGTGTCTGTGTGAGCTAACTTCCCCTGGGAATTATTGCCTCTGGTGAAACCTTCCAGGCAGACAATGTGTGCCCAAGTCCAGACATAACTGCCAGTTATGTCCAGACAGCCTGGCAGGCCTCCATCTTTGCCCTTCCCCAGGACCTTCTTATAGGAGCTTCTTATAGGTGGCCACCTGGGCTTCAGGTGTGGTGGCCAACAGGCAGGATACGTGTACAACAGTGGCTGGCCTGGGGTTAGTCACCCAGCCAGGCCAGCCTGGGACCTCCCTCTGCTCTGATCCCAGGCTTGTCTGAGGACTTGTATTATCATACCAGCACTCCTGTGCCCTTTCAGCTGCCCTTCTGGGTGTTTCTCAAAGTTAATACATTTCCATAAAAATGCTTTTTTTTTTTTTTTTTGGAGACAGACGAGAGCCTGTAGAAACCAGTATGTTTTGGTGGTGGAGAGAAAAGCAAACTGGAAGGACCATGGGGGAAGTGGAGGGGGGGGGATAGAGAAGGGCCATTCTGTCAGCAACTGGAGAGAAGTTTAGGGGGGAATAAAGGCAAGAGAAGGGGGAAACAAATTGGGGCCCCCACCCTGTCACAGCATTCCTATTCTTTCAGATTAGCCGTGCTTTCTCGCAAAACCAGCTAAAATGCTTTAAGACAAAGGTGGCCTGGTGGGTTGGGAAACTCTGATGACTGGGGGAGGGGTGAATTGCCAAGACAGCTGCACTGAGGATCATTACTTTCGGGGTGGATGGTTTAGGGGTTTGGCTAAGCAGTCATCACTCCTTTCTAAAACAGAAGATTGTGTTACAACTCTTCTTAAAATATATATATATTTTTTAAATTTCTTTTTCCTTAAACGGAGCCCTAAATAGTACTCTCGAATACAGAGTACTCCGTTCAGGCTCCTGGTGGAGCCTCTTTCCACGGGCGGAATCCTTTCGTACGCACGTATATCCTGCACTGGCACAGGCGTGCACGCTTGAGTCGGAGTCTGCAGGAGCACCCCGCGCTCCCGTCTCGCGATCAGGACTCCACGCTGCCAGGTAACCAAAGTCAAATGTAAGTGACAATTTCCCCCTCCACCAGCAAGGAAAGCGGGTTACAAACCTCCCTTTGTACCTCGGAAGCTCATTTAATCTTATTTATGCATTTTTGTGCAAGGAATTGTGGGATCTCTTCCCACCGTAAACACTACGAGAATGTTAAAAATAACGATCTTCCAGCGCGTGTCCACTTAGGCGGAGCAGGGACCTGGTGGGACTGTCACAAGGTTCCTCAGTTTCCCCGAACCGCGAGGAGACGCGGGGGAAGTGGGACCGAGCACAGCGGCGGATCCGGCTGGGTTACGGGCTCCCGCGCCAGGAGCCCTGAGCGCGGCCTCTTTAAGGGGGGGAGGGGAGGCGGCGGCGGGGGAGGGGCGACAGGCGGTTCCTGTCACCGAGCTGCCGCCGGCGCGTCACGTGGACGCGCGGCGCGGCGGCCATTGGCCCGAGGCACGTGTCCAGGAGACCGGCCCGCGACGTCACTCGAGGGGGCTCTGTTAAAAATAAGAACAAAAATCCAGAGTGAAAGTGTCTCAGGTTGCGCCAAGTGGCCCGAAAATTTTCCCGAGCCCGCGCGGAAACAGAGGCGGCGAGGGCGCGCGGGGCAGGAGGGCGCGCGGGAGGCCCAGCCCGACCCGGCCTCCCGCCCCTCACCCA